AAGGGAGGGAAGTAGGTTTTCGATTATTTCTGTGAGTGGGAGTGTCTGAACAGCCTCAGGGTGGAGAGTGGCTGGGTTAAGAGAGGGGCAGGACTGAAGAGAGAAGGATGGGTTTGCTATGAAAGTAGCATGGAAGAGTAGTAGCCAAGAGGGGTACAGATATGAGAAGCTATAGTGAGTGAATCCTGTAAGCGATGGGGTGACTTTACTGTTGTTGGTTGACCAAAAGTTAGTTTAGAGCTCTCTTGGGCTAGGAGAGAGGCGGCTGCCAGGGCTCATAAACATGTGGGCCAGCCCCAGACAGTGTGATGGAGTTGTTTAGATAGGTAAGCAACTGGGACGAAATATGACCCAATGTTTTGTCCCAGGACCCCCAGTGCCAGTCCTGCTTGTTCAGTGACATAGAGTGAATGGATTTTGGAGATCTGGAAGAGTTAATGCTGGGGCAGAGAGGATAGCAGTTTGAAGTTTGAGAAATGGTCCCTTGATGGATATGCCATCTGTAGGTTCATTTGGGTCTCCCTTGGAAGCCTCATACAGAGGTTTAGCAAGTAGACTGAAATTGGCTATCCATAAGCAAAGAAAGCCCACGAGCCCCAGGAAAGACAGGATCTTGGCTTTGGAGGAAGGGACCAGAAGATCTCAAATAAGCTGTTTATGGTCTAAGGTGATCTCTTGTTGTTGATATGACATCTTAACCCCGAGATATTGTACTGTGGGTTGGGAGAGTTGGGCCTTGTCCCTCAAGGCCTGGTACCCTTTTTTACACAAGAAGTTGAGCAGTGAGGCCATGTGTTGTTGGGAGAGTTTAAGAGTGGAACTGCACAAGAGCAAATCATCTACATATTGAAGTAGCTTAGAGGGAGACAGGCTTAATTTTAAGAGGTCACCAGCCAAGGCCTGTCCAAAGAGGTGTGGACTATCCCAAAAGCCCTGTGGAAGAACTGTCCAAGTAAGTTGTTGACAGTGTCCCATGTCAGGGTCAGTCCATGTAAATGCAAAGATGTCTTGTGAGTTGGGGTGTAAGGGGATGGTGAAAAAGGCACCTTTGAGGTCTAGAACAGTGAAATGGCATGAGGAGATGTAGGACAGCAGAGTGTAGGGGTTGGGAACAACAGGGTGCATAGGAAGTACGGCAGAATTGATGACCCTCAGGTCCTGTACCAATTGGTAGGAGCCATTTGTTTTTAGGACTGGAAGGATAAGAGCGTTGTAGAGGGAGTGAGCTGGTCTGAGAAGTCCCTTATTGATTAGGCTGGTGATTATAGACTTTAGTACTTGTAGGTGTCTTAAGGCTATAGGGTATTGTGGGACATTTGGGAATTGAATGACATCCTTGAGAGAGATCTGAATGGGAGGATGATGTTTAACAACAGAAGGGGTGGAGGTGTCCCAGACTGAGGTGGTCAATATAAGGCACCTTGGAAAAAGGTGAGGTTGGGTTGGGGATTGAGTCAGTCAGGGGGGCAGCTAGGAGCAGCAGGATGCCGGTAGGGTCTGAATTGGTTGGATAGAGAATGAGTAAGGCCCTGAATTTAGTTAGAATGTCTCTTCCTAGAGGGGATAGGACAGCTAGGAATATCCAAGAAGCTATGTGAAAATGTACTCCCTAACAGGGAACATGCTAGGGGTGGGGTGATTAGTGGGTTTGAAGGTATCGCCTGCACCCCCATGATGGTTACTGTGGAAGGACGAGTGGGGCCTGAGTAGTGTGGTAAGGCTGATTATGTAGCCCCTGTGTCAAGCAAGAATGAGATAGGCTTACCTGAGATGCTGACAGTTACCCTGGGCTTGTTGGAAGTGATGGCCGTGGGGGCTGCAGACTACCCTGGGCACTGTCAGTCCTCCATCGCCAGGCCAATGAGCTCTGACAGAGAAAAAATATGGAACGCTTCATGAATTTGCATGGCATCCTTGAGCAGGGGCCGTGCTAATCTTCTCTGTATCGTTCCAATTTTAGTATATGTGCTGCCGAAGCAAGCACTGGAACACCTTCCTTACATGTTTCCCTTTTTTCACTCTGTCCTTTCTTTCTTTACATTTTATCCTTTTTGCTGATCAATTAATATTATATTAAATGTATAAAATTAAATGGTGTGACATGATAAAGATTTTCATTGTCAAAATTCACAACTTTGGGTCAGGGATGTAGCTCAGTGGTGCCATGCCTGCCTAGCAAGTGCAAGGTCCTGAGATTGATTCCCAATACAAAAAAATTTCCAGAACTTTATCTCCTAGCTCTGCTGAAGGCAACAATACTTTGAAATATATCCCTACCACATCTGACAAAAATTAAGCTAATTAAAATCAATACTGAGTTCCATAATAACTTGATGCCCCAAGGACTGTATCTCACTTTCCATCTTGTGATTTCTCATGAAATGTTGGGGTTCACCAAAGTTCCTTCCTTGATCTCCATCACTTTCTATTTGTCACAGTCTTTTTTGGCTATCAATTATACCTAAAATGCTAAATATTATTTTTGGAATTTTACAATTCCTATGTTTTATCTCCAGCTCTGACCTCTTAGCTCAGTGTCACATTTACCCATCACAGTGTGTACTGAACTGTTTTATATAGGCGTCTTTTAGGCTCCTCAGAACCAGCAAGGGGATTTTAATTTTATATTATATTTTTGCTGGAACAGTTCCTCTGCTAGTATTTTCTGCTTTAGCCAAATATATACCCACTGGCCCTTCCATCTGCACCAGAAACTTAAAGTCTGCCTGGCTTCTCTTATGTCCTTACCAATAATCAATAATCAAGTTTTGCTTGAATCTTCTATCTTTTTTGTTACCATTATTATTGGCAAGAATCAGATCCTCCTTGTTTATTGGGCACAAGGAGAAACTCTTCTTTCCATAAGGCATCATCACATTATGCAGACTCTCAGTGCAGTCCGTGTATAACAAGGGTGGGACCTGTTTCCCTCTGGTGTAACCCATGTGAAGTACAAGAGAATTCAAGTGAAAGTGAAATTTTTGGTGTGAACAAAGATCAAATAATATTTGTAGAGCCTTCAACATTTGCCTAACATGTTTTAGAACTAATTTCCTTGTTTATAAAATGGGCTAATGGTTCTACCTCATAAATATATTATAAGATTTCAGAGATGTTGGTAAAGCAAATTTTCTGACATTTCTGAGAAAACAGTAGGGGTTTATACAACAAACTCTTCTGTTTCTCTGTGCCTTGTTCTAATCTGTGTTCTTGATCTGGCTGTATGTATTCATTTTGGGTTTCAGAGCTACATATCTCAGTATTTCCTTTAGAACTGCTCATGGATGCATCAGATACATTATGTTGAAGACTGAACTTCCCATCTTTTTCTAACATTACTCTTGCAAACGTGGCCCTCAACATGTGCTATCTTTTTCAGTGACTACATCACCATCATAGACTAAGCTTACTAACAGAGGTGGCATGGGTGCTTCTCTCCCTACTGCAATAAAACTCCTGCTCTTTGTGTCTACTTACTCTACTTCTAAAATCCACCGAAGCACAGAAATGAGAATAATTTTTCAAAGAACAAATCAAGTAATTCTACCTCCTTTCTTGATTTGTTCAGTATCTGTGGCATAGGCTTCTTAAAGAGAAATAACCTGTTAGCATAGTTTAAATATCATTTATGGCATCTTTTCCTACCATATAATTGTTTCCATTGGGAGCAGAAACACAGCCAGATTAACACTCTTTCAATATATAAATAAAATATGGTTTGAATTTTTATGTCTGGTTATTTTTTTTTAAAGTTTTAAAAATTAATTTTCATTGCTGCATCCTGCACCCCCATTATTGTCTTTTCCCTCTTTTTCCATTTCACTCCAGCTATTAACTTTCACCCTTTCTACCTTCCTTCTTCCTTTTCTTTCCCCATTCCTCCCTCTCCTTTCTGACTCTTTCCCTTTATTTTTCTCCATTCTTATCCTTCTCTCCTTGCATTTTTATTCCTTTCTTTCTTCTGTTGTGAAGATGGATGAGATAATTTTGATATTATAGTATTATTTTGGATTGAAAAATGAATAAAGTGCTATTTGCATCATTATCTTTGGTGTAACTTCACTTTTTTTCTTGAAAATACACCTGCAAAAATTTCTGTATTTTAATTTTCTCAGAAGCCCTGTCAGACTTAACCTTGCTAAATAAAATAAATCTCCTTTGTTCTTCCTCTGTGTTCCTTTTTAAGTAATGACATAATTTTAAAGAATCATGTCACAATTAACTGATATTTGCCTTTTTCTCATTGAAATATTCTTTTTATAGTCCATGATCTCAAAACTGTGTTTAGTAGTTGGCAGAAAGATGTTACACATTTGTAAAACTCTTTTCAAGGACATTTGCTATAATACAGGAAGGAAAAAAGTGAGAGCTTTGTAGTTGAAGGAAGAAAGTTAATACTTTGGCTTCATTCTGATTTATTCTATTTTTAAACATAATTTATTTGGTTAGATGACCAAATTGAAGAAATAATTGAACACACAAAAGCCACCGACAAATGAATGGATGAGTATTTATTGTCTTACCAGAAGAATTTAATCTAAATGAAGAGAAGGAAGACAAACCAGAACCATGAGAGGTTTAATCCATTTTGTCCTTCTGATTATTTTGCATGTTCTGGAGACACAGGAGATCCTTCTATCCTCTCTTAAACTGGAGCACAACAGGCAAATCCTTTCCAATTTCTGTGCCACAATTCCTCATTTGTATAATAAAAATAGAGGAAGTGATATCTCATCAAGCTACCAAGTGGTTATTCCAAAAAGTGTATACAGTTTCCAAAAAGGGGGCATTTGTACTGGTGGAATGGGACCAGAAGATACCTAGAGGGGGAGCCGAGCATCTGATGTCAGAGTCCTAAGCTCCTGCCAGGACTGCCAAGAGCAGGTACAGCTGTCATGGATCAGGCCTCACCCTGCAGAGCCACACCCTGGCCTTGGCCAATCTGTTCACAGGGGCAGGGAGGGCAGGAGCCATGGCTGGGCATAAAAGGCAGGGCAGTGCCAGCTGCTGGTTATACTTGCTTCTGACACTGTCGTGTTCACTAGCAACCCAGAAACAGACACTATGGTGCACCTGACTAATGAGGAGAAGGCTGCCATCACCAGCCTGTGGGAGAAGGTGAACTTGGAAGAACTTGGTGGTGAGGCCCTGGGCAGGTTGGTATCAGGTTATAAGATGCTTTCGGAGGCCAATGGAAGTTGGTTGCTTGGAAATAAAGAGGTTTCCTGGGTTTCTAACGAACATTGACTTTCTCTGTCTTCCCATCTGTTTTCACTCCTCAGGCTGCTGGTGGTCTACCCATGGACCCAGAGGTTCTTTGAGCACTTTGGGGACCTCTCCTCTCCTTCTGCTATTATGGGCAACCCTAAGGTGAAGGCTCATGGTGCGAAGGTGCTGGCTTCCTTCAGTGAAGGCCTGAATCACCTGGACAACCTCAAGGGCACCTTTGCTAAGCTGAGTGAGCTGCACTGTGACAAACTGCACGTGGATCCTGAGAACTTCAGGGTGAGTCTGTGGGACTGACCACAATAACAGCTTTCCTCTTTCTTTCTACAGCTAAGTTCTCATCATGAGCCAAGGGCATTAGTGTTAGGGACTAGTTTAAAATGAGAAAGGAGTGTCTGTTAGTATCACTGTGGAGCCCTGAAAAGCACTCAGTAGATTTTCTTCTGTGCTCAGTATTATTCTTTCCTCTCCTTTCCTTCTTGTTTTCCTCTTTTTCTTTTCTGTAATTTCTTCTCATTTTTATTAAACTTTTTATTTTACACTTTTATTTGAAAACAATTTTTTTATTCCTCTATATTTTTGTCTATTTGTCTTCTTTCAAATATTTTCTGTAATCTCTCTCTAGACAAAGAGATAAAATGTATTGTGTTTCTTCACACAGGTTTGAACAACTATCATGACAATATATTTTCTGGGCTAAGGCATTAAGGATTCATATTTCTGCCTAAAAATTCTGGCTAATGTAGAAGAATTCTTATCAGTGTTAGCAGTTATCCAGCTATGGTTTTGTTACTAGTTTTTGGTTGTAGGTAAAAGCACAGGTTGAGATGACTTTTGAAGATTCTGTGTTGAACTAGGCATGCTCACATCTCTCATCTCTTCCCCACAGCTCCTGGGTAATGTTATTGTGATCGTGCTGGCCCACCACCACGGTCATGACCTCACCCCTACGGTGCAGGCTGCCTTTCAGAAGGTGGTGGCTGGTGTGGCTCATGCCCTGGGTCACAGGTACCACTGAGCATGTTGTCTTGAAGAAGGTCTCTCTGTTCCCTGAGAACAACTACTAAATACAGAGGAAATTCTGGAGTTCCTTGACCACCTGGCTTCTGCCTAATAAAGAACATTTATTTTCATTGCAATGGTGTAGTTAAATTATTAATTATTAATCTGTTGCTCAAATGATTTGGAATAAATTGCTTCTTTTGGACCTTGGGCTCATTTGATTGGAAACACACACACTTCCTAGGTTAAAATACTAAAATTTTATTTGGCATACTGAACTAAATAGTATTCACCTATCTTGAGAATGTTGGAAATATAGTAAGATAAATATGCCAGGAAAAGTTTCCAGAGCAAAAAGAAGAGAGCATTATGGTAGTTGTTACTGTTTCAAAGTCTATGATTTTGTGAACAAGTCATAGCAAAACATATACAAATACCCTAGAAGCCAAAATTTAGACATTCTTGTACAATATGGATTAAAGAAAAACAAATAATATGTGGTAACTCCTAACCAAATGGTGAACCTTACCTATCAGCAGTGTCAGACCTTAATGTAATGCTATGAAAATATTGTCCACTACTGGTCTACCTTGGCAGTCAGAAGAGCTTTTTGACTCAAAAGCTGAAACATCAAAGAAAAAAATTATAACTTGCTACTTAAAAGTTTATGTCAGCTAAATCTACTCAATTTAGTTTGATCTGAGTATTAGATTGTATATAGGGAAAGTATAAAAGCACAGATAGTCTAATAAATCCAGATGAAACAAGGACTGGATTAGCTGACAGCCAAATATTAAAATAAGATCAAAAGGGCAGTTGTGCAAATATCTGAGAGAAGAGGGTGTAAAAGGAGTCAAACAAGGAGCCTAAAAATAGAGACAAAACAGTCTAGATTCTATAAATTTCCTCCTTCTGGTTTTCTCCTATTAATCATTAGTAGTATTTTTCAAAGATGTGATATTAAGGAAAATAATTTTTCAGTAAACATTACAGATTACCAAATCAATTAGCATTAATGAATACTTATTTAGCCCAAAGTAAAGTGCTAAATGCCCAGAATTTTATAAAGCTTGGTAGCATTTGGATGCTGTTCTTCTCCTGCAGTAGCATTCTCAAGAGAGAGAGAATAATGAAAGATAACACAGCCAGTTTTCAACATGTTAGAAAGTCACAATTTTTGTTTGAAAGTCAAATACAATGTGTGCTTTATATGGACAGGACTCTCACATACGGATAGCCATCAAAATGCATAGAGCATCTAACTACTCACATTAATAAAACTAACCTGACCCAGAGCTGTTTCCAAATTACTCTTGCTATTAAAATGTGTTTTATAAGATTACTGATTTTTCTCTTAGGACTTGTTTCAATTGTTTGATTTGGTTTTCTCTGGGTGATATTAAAAGCCATACATTTACCAAATTCTTATAAATAAATGAGAGGAAGGGCTCCCAGAAACATGTGGGTAACATAATTTTAGAGCTGCACATGACCTCAAATTCCATCAGAGTTTGTCTAGTTGATGGAGCATAGACTAAGAATGCACCAAACTTCTGTCTATTTCAAAGAGAATACCGTTTTAGATCTTGTTACTACTGATGACTGGTTTCCTCAACAGTGAAAAGAAAATACACACATCGTTCGTGAAAATTTATGGGCAAAGAAGGAAGAATGCACTGGAAACTTTAAAATAATAGAAAGTCTTAGCACAGCGACATAGAGTGCTAGAACAGCCAGAATGTGAGATGAGTAAGTCTGGAGAGACTTGAGTTAGGCCTTGCAGGAGGCACAACCATTACAGATTTGAAAAATCAGAATGTAAGAAAGCAGCATGAAAAGGAAGTCTGAATCCTTGGTGAAAAATATGTTCAACAAAGTATAGGTGTTTACGTGCATGTCAGAGCAGGAGTGCTGGATTGTACTCTGATGTAGACAGTAAAAAAGTGAGAGAACAATTTCAGGACATTAGGAGAAACCAAAAAGATATAGGCTAAGAGGGATAGCGAGCCATGCACTCAACATTCCCCCCTGTACTCCTTCTTCACTACTCAGGAACTGCTGACCACTAAAGGCTATTTCAGAGGGGTAGTAATGGCCACATAGTGATCACGAGGAATTAATAAAATTATGGCGGACTCCACGCAAGAAAACCTATGGAATAAATAGAGAAGGAGTACAAAGACGGATAAATTGATAATGACAGAATTTAGCAGGAGTAGTACCAGTCCTGTGGACATAGTTGACACATAGACACCCAGGTCTCTTCCCCTTAGCATGCCTATAAAGTAGTACACAGGTGGTGGAGAGATCAGAGAGCGGAGACAGCGTATACGACAGAGAGTTTCCCTGGAGCATCAGGTAAATACGATGAGAACGTAGCAGCCTCAACAGGACTTGGAAGAGCTACCAGTGAAACATGAAAGACCAAATATGATAGCAGAGCTCATTTGATATGGAATAATGGTGGTTTTCTTTTGTTTGATTTTACAGTACTAGGGACCAAACCAAGGAGTCAGGCAAACAGCAAGCACTGTACGGTAATATACATTCCCAGGACTGCTTTCCTGTTTTGACAGGCAACAATAATCTATTTCAGGTCAGAATTACCAAAGGGTGACTTGCTTCTTTAAATAGCAATTCCCATATCCCACGGATCTCAGACTGGCATGACATGGCAATATTGATCTGGAGTAGGGAATTGTAGAAACATTTTTAGTAGACGTGAAGAACATCACAGGCAGCAATGTTAACTGGAGCCAAGCCTAGAAGAAAGGTGCATTGCTATATACATGTGGAATCCATAAGCTATGTGAAAGTCTGATTAAGTCAGATATTTGACAACCACAATATTAAATCAGAGTGGAAAATTATTAAAGATAGGAAGTCTATAAACAAAGCTACAAGGTACACTAAAAAGAAAGAAACAAATACACCATTAATCATTCTAAAAATGTGAGTGATTCAGCTGATGGATAGGTCATCCAGTGTTCTTTTTATTTCCATTGTTGTGGATTCCAAGAACAAACCACATATGAGAAAACAGAAGCATTGCTGTTGTCATACTCACGGAGATCTGGAACTCTCTGGGGCAGGTTCTCTCCTGTGTTACTGGGCCCTCCAGAACTTCCCAAGGTCTCACCTGTCTACTTGAACTTCAGATTTTTGGGTTAGCTTTTTAAATTTTTAGGATTCCATAGAATTATAGATCAGTATAACTAAAGGAAGCAAAAGAGACATCAACAGAAAGGCCTTCAGAAACCAGAGTAATCTGAGGGAAAATAAGATTGACAGAAAGACAGGGACTGGTAAGATTTTACCCAAAGTGCCCTCAAATGTAGAATGACTACTTTTTTGCTAAAGAAAATGGCAGAACTGATGGCAGAGTCCTCTGGCTTGATAGGAACTTAGTATGCTATTTCCTCAGACTGTTTTCTCTTTCCTTTATTTTCCTTGTATCAAATCACCAGGGAAAAGGATGCAATTGCAAATCATAAATCTTTAGAAGTTCTTTTCTCCTTTTTTATACTTCCTCATTCCTCTTTCCACATACCCCATATATGTCTTTTTCTCGAATTATAATCAGTCCATATTCTAAAGATGTCAAAAATTTTTGTGCATTATGAAAGTAACTTGATGATTTTTCTTTTAAAAATATATATATTTATTGGTACATTTTAGGTTTAAAATACATTTACATTTATCATTGGGTGTTTATACCAGAACATGATGTATCTTAGTTTTTAGTTTTTCTTCCATTACCTGTGCACCCTTCACCCTATCCACCCTTCCCTATTTACACAGAGTCTGATTCCATTTTTTTCTCATAATTTTTCCTTTCCCTTCTTCCCTTTCCCCTTTCCCTTCCAACATCCCCAAACCCTTGTACCTTTTCTTATTTCAAATTATCAATTATTAATTTATTCATTTTCATCCTTATTTACACTTTCAACTTCTCATACCAGAGAAACTATTTGGTATTTACACGTGTGTGTCCTATTTATTTCACTTAAGAGTATGGCCTCAATATGCAACCATTTAGCTATAAATGTCTCTAGTTTCTCATTCTTTCTGGCTGAGTAGTACTCCATTTTTTTTAAAAAAAACCCACATATTCTTTATCCAGTTTCCAGTTGATGGGCACATGGGTTGTTTCCAAGCTTTAGCTATTATAAACTGTGCCACTATAAACATGGGTGCACATATATTGCTGTGGTATGATTCTTTTAATTCTTTGGGGAAGATTCCCAGTAGGGGAATAGCTACGTCAAATGGTACCTGTAGTCCTAGTTCTCTGAGGTATCTCCATACTGATTTCCACAGTGGTTGCACCAGTCTACACTCCCAACAACAATGGAGAAGGGTTCCTTTCTCTCCACACCCTCACCAGCATTTGTTATTGATTGATTTCTTGATAGCAGTCATTCTTTCTGGGGTGAGGTGGAATCTCAGTGTTGTTTTCATCTGCATCTCTTGAATGACCAGTGATGTTGAACATTTT